GGAACCCAGAATTTTTTTCTTTTCTTGAAGCATGTAGTCATCCGTGAAACACAAAAATGCTTCGATTCAAAATATGTGGAGGAGCCTCTGCTTGATTTCTCTTGGTTCATAAAAAATGTCCAGTCTGTTCTCATAGTCTGTTCTTATTCGATGAACTATGAATTTCTGTCTGGGCTGAAAGTTTGAGAACCAAAAAAAAATGAGGATCTTGCCTGCATAGGATCTCAGATTCCCATTTCCAGTCAAAAAAGCTTCAGGTTTGGTTTATAATGCTAATGCTAACGCTAATGCTTTGTATTTGTTATGGCGTGTGCTGCTAACTCCTTGGCCAGGTCATACTTGTAAATGAGATCCTGATCTCAATGGGACATATCTGGTTAAATAAAGGTAAATTTTTTTAAAGCAGCTTTGTAGTTTTAATGTGGAACTGTACCATATTTTCATGCTATTTGAATCACTTTTTCAGCATTTGAGATTTCAACAAACATTATAGGGCTTTGGTATAAATAATCATTAGTTTCAGCCCTAAAACTGATCCGTTTAAGAGGAAAAATGTCAGCCGTCTTAACCAGATAAGTGTCAAAGGATTGGGGAACAGATGGATGGCACAACAGCTGGAAAGTCTCATCTGATTATAGACTTGTCATGGTGGTGAATGCAGCAGTGCTGACTGTTGCTCTTTTGAGAGAGTACTTCTCCATTTTCTGCTTTGATGCACAAGAGGTATAACAGGAGGCTTTAGGAGGTGGAGGGGTGTAACAGGGCAGGACAATGACCAACCAAAGCTATTTTCCCCTCAATTCTCATTCCAGGTCACGATTTTTGCCTCTACTCTGTTCTTGTCTCATTTGTTATTTCTTTATGGTGTTATTCAAGGTGACAGACTACCCTTGCTTACCTCTCTGAGCTATCACCGCCATGACTCATGGAATGCTGCAAAATCCTAAATATGTTCATCCTGCACTCAGAGTCCCCATGGCCAAACCAACATCAGCGGTCTCCACGGTGATGTGATCACAGCAGCTCTCAGTAAGTCACTCATGCCTCAGGAGATGCACGCTCTATAAGGATAGCCTAACCTGCAGGCAGCACAAGCACCTTTGTGCCCCAGTCTTATTTTTTCTGAGTGCACTCTACTGCTGTCTCAGATTCATAGCCCAGCTGTCCCCCCGAAAAGCAATAATGAATAGGTGGATTGTACAATATGATCACTATCCCTGTTGTAATCCCACATGTCTTACACTGAAATGAGTGTCCCTCTCCATGCACTGCATTTCCACTGGTGGTGTCTCAATTTACATCTATTACATTCAGTGGAATACACACCCTGATGTGTTCCATTGCATTTACTGTCAGCCAGATGCCACAGAAGAAAGAGGACTGGAATTGCTATTAGTAAATTCACTCTCTCTTTTGTATTTCCAATGCTGACAACAAAAAGAGTTATAGACAGGATATTGGCTCAGACTAGACTTTATTTCATAGGATTTGAAAGTGATGCTGTAATGGAATCACAGTGTCATTTTATGACAGTTGCTTAATGGATGATGCTTTAACCACTTCAAAGCTCTCTACAAATGTAACAACATACCTCTTTAATATTAAGGTACAACCCTGTATCACTAAATCACCAGCTTGCTCAAGTCCAAAGTGTTGCCTGTGAGACTCATGTTTTTATAGTTGAATATGCTCTTTATGTCATGTGTGATATAAAAAAAAAGAGTGTGATTTTGGGGAACTATGAGATGCCAGCAAAGAAGGATAGGTTCCCGCATTGAGAATTAGAAGTTGTCAAGTTTAACTCAAATAATTTATGACACGAACTCCATCAAGCTTAAAAACCCAATCCGATATTAATATAGGATATCGGTCCAATTACAAAAAAAAAAATCAGATTATATCGGTATCGGCTAATACTGAAGGCTACAATTTCGGTATCATATCGGAAGTATAAAGGCCATATCCCTATACTAGGGACACCCCCATTACAAAGCAAAGAGCTCAGTGAAGAAGAGGAAGGCTCAGTGCTGAAAGCTAGCACTGCTAATAACGTGAACGAAAATTCACAGCGGGAGCCGAGTGACGACAGTAATTTAAGCCTCATTTTGAAAAAGATGACAGAATTCAGAAGGGACTCAAGTAAGTAATTACATGGCATAAGAGGAGATATTAAAATCTATTGCAGAGTAGAAGAAACAGAATAGCGCATTAACACAGTCATTCAAACTACAAAGGAAGTGTTGTCAGAGCCAATGAAGCTTCAGATACAAACAGAGGCTAAACTGACGGATCTTGAGGGGTCCTCACGGCATGACAATGTCATAATATCATACTGTGCAAAGAGAGGAACACCCACACACTAGTTTACATGCTCCAAACACACTTTAATTATATCAAGGCAACAGATCTGTTGCCTTGATGTCCAGCACCTGATCTGAATTTCGGTTTGAGATGTGCACACAATCCGTCCGTTTTATAATATCATACTGTGACATTAATGATAACTTTTGTGGAAGATTTATCGATAAAAGGCTTACAGTTTCCAGCTTCTACCACACTTAACATTGAAAGAGTGCCCCGGGCACTTGCACTGACTCTCCCAGCTGAAGCACAGCCAACATCACTTGTGGTCAAGTTTTTGAGCTACAGGATAAAGGAGGAAGTGCTGAAGAGAGCCTGGCAGAAAAAGGATTCAATTTTCAAGGAAAGTGGATACACTTGGATTAGATTACACCCCGGAGTTGCTGAGGAAGCAGAGGGAATATGCAGAAGCGAAGACGGCACTCAGAGGGAAAAACACGAGATTCCAGATTTTGTTACCGGCCAGACTGAGTGAGAGGAAAGGACGGTGACATACGGCAGATATGACAGAAAGAGGAATACAGGTCACTGTTCCAACATCCCTGCTGAGCAGCAACGGGTCAAATACCAGTTCTAGAAGAGGCTTCAGAAAAGCAGCGCCAGGCTTTTTGTCATCATGATACCTGACAAGTACTGCCGACATGGTAGAGCCTGTCAGTTTGACAACATGGGTGCTTAACACTTCAACAAAATAAGAACATGCATTTATCTATATTTTAAAGTAAAATATATCATTACAGTGTGCTTTGAAATTTAACACAAAGATATCATTTAAGGCACAGCGTCTCGATCAAGAAAGACAGGACGTCTCTAATCAGACATGATGGACCCACATACCAGCTTTGAAGATGAAGAGGGCCCTCTTTCATTGCCAAGAAGAGGAAGAAACTTTCCTTCTAGAATCTCATTGCATCAGAACTAAAAGACGCAAAAAGGCCTCAATGATGAAAGTGTTTTTACTCAGAGCTACTGCTGCTTGTAGCGTTGGGAATGCAAGATTTAAAATTTTAAGGGCGTTCACAGCATTGGTAACATACTTGTTCACAAAAAACACAACATATGAGGTCAGTCAAAGTAACAAATTAAAACCTGAATGGTTTGGGAAACCCAATCAAGAGAAGTAAAATAATGGCCCAATTAGAGAGAATGTGTGGAGGTGCTGCTCCCCCTGGAGACTCACTTGACAGAACGAGAGCATGAACAATTGAAAAGGTGGAAATTCATCTCATACTCGTTTTCTTGTAGCAAGGCCTCTAATGTAGGGTTCACACCAAGCGTGAGTAAAGTCATTTGTACAAGTGAATTACATGTAAAGTCAGTGGAATTGCATTTGCGTTGCCCGTTCCACTCAGGCAATGTGAATGACACAAATTACACAGAGCAGTTACGTGGTGCGAAAAGTGCGAATTGAGCAGACTCTTTGCATGAATTGAGCAGACTATTCTCGCAAACCATGCAAATTTGTGTCACGTCAAACATGCTACTTGCTTCTAGTGTCTATTCCCGAGAGTTGAAAATATCTCAACCCAAGTCAGTGTTCGAGCCGCAATAACCAATCAACATGGAGATACCCTGGTGACGTAGGCCAACAACAGACCAGCAGAGATTCATCCACATGGAAAATGGAGGATTAACTGTTTGGGACAGTATGAGACCACTAAAGGTGAAGGATACAACTTGTCTGTTACTCCAAGGCAGGAACAAAAAAAGACCTCAGCTCGAGGTAAGAGAGTGAGGAGGTCTGATCATCTGGTAAGTTGTTTAAACTCAATAGATCTTTACAGTGTGGTCAACCTCTGCTATGTTTGATGTAAACAGACTGACCTGACATTAGAACCCCCTGCTCTCTTTCTCCTCTCTTCCATAATCACAGGTGTGTTTGGGCTCTTTGCAGACACGACACAAACATGCGAATTAAACATGTGAATACACAACATGTGTGCGTTTAGGACATTATTTTGCTGGTGCAATTCTGATTATCAAGCAAGATGTAAAAATTTTGAAGAAAACATCTCAGGGACGGTTCAAATTCAAGCTTGTTTCGGAGACAAAAAAATTCTGAGTAATCTCATGAAGTTAGGTAATAAATGGGTCAATTTGTCTCTGAAAATATGGATGAAAGAAAAATCAGATTTGCACCTGGGTAGATAGAGCATGCACCATGCTCATATCTAGTAATGACATTTCAACACAAGAGAATATCTCCCATGAGCTGCTGTGAGTGCTGCCAGCTAATATATCATTCACAGTCATACAGTGGTAGCAGAGGTTGTAGCACCATCTGGTTTAAAAGAGGTTTAGCTGATTTTAGTGACAGTCACCAGCAGGGCGGAGAGCGGCAGAGCAGCCAGCAGACTGGAACCATGTCGCCCTGCTCCCAACATTTTGATGCTGCGCTGTCATCAGCTTCTGTCATCTCTTCTCCGCTCTGCTCGAGTTTGTTCAGGGTCTGTGGTCATTTTCAAAACAATTTGCTCAGTTTACAGCCTGTCATGTTTTTCCCCAGCATTTCTTTGTTAGTAATGAAACAAAAAATAGAGAGACTTGAAGACCAGAGTTGTGATCTTTTAAAAGAGAAGACTACTGCCAATAGGGCATCCCAGCTCCATCCACGACTTACTATTTATACACTCACCGGCCACTTTATTAGGTACACCTGTCCAACTGCTCGTTAACACTTAATTTCTAATCAGCCAATCACATGGCGGCAACTTAGTGCATTTAGGCATGTAGACATGGTCAAGACAATCTCCTGCAGTTCTAACCGAGCATCAGTTTGGGGAAGAAAGGTGATTTGAGTGACTTTGAACGTGGCATGGTTGTTGGTGCCAGAAGGGCTGGTCTGAGTATTTCAGAAACTGCTGATCTACTGGGATTTTCACGCACAACCATCTCTAGGGTTTACAGAGAATGGTCCGAAAAAGAAAAAATATCCAGTGAGCGGCAGTTCTGTGGGCGGAAATGCCTTGTTGATGCCAGAGGTCAGAGGAGAATGGCCAGACTGGTTCGAGCTGATAGAAAGGCAACAGTGACTCAAATAACCACCCGTTACAACCAAGGTAGGCAGAAGAGCATCTCTGAACGCACAGTACGTCGAACTTTGAGGCAGATGGGCTACAGCAGCAGAAGACCACACCGGGTGCCACTCCTTTCAGCTAAGAACAGGAAACTGAGGCTACAATTTGCACAAGCTCATCGAAATTGGACAATAGAAGATTGGAAAAACGTTGCCTGGTCTGATGAGTCTCGATTTCTGCTGCGACATTCGGATGGTAGGGTCAGAATTTGGCGTCAACAACATGAAAGCATGGATCCATCCTGCCTTGTATCAACGGTTCAGGCTGGTGGTGGTGGTGTCATGGTGTGGGGAATATTTTCTTGGCACTCTTTGGGCCCCTTGGTACCAATTGAGCATCGTTGCAACGCCACAGCCTACCTGAGTATTGTTGCTGACCATGTCCATCCCTTTATGACCACAATGTACCCAACTTCTGATGGCTACTTTCAGCAGGATAATGCGCCATGTCATTAAGCTGGAATCATCTCAGACTGGTTTCTTGAACATGACAATGAGTTCACTGTACTCAAATGGCCTCCACAGTCACCAGATCTCAGTCCAATAGAGCATCTTTGGGATGTGGTGGAACGGGAGATTCGCATCATGGATGTGCAGCCGACAAATCTGCGGCAACTGTGTGATGCCATCATGTCAATATGGACCAAGCTCTCTGAGGAATGCTTCCAGCACCTTGTTGAATCTATGCCACGAAGAATTGAGGCAGTTCTGAAGGCAAAAGGGGGTCCAACCCGTTACTAGCATGGTGTACCTAATAAAGTGGCCGGTGAGTGTATATACGTGCTTTATTTGAAGTTGTATGATTGTTGAAAGAGTGCATCCTCTAACAAAGCATTTAAAACACTAAAGATGCACTTAATTTAAATCAATGTCTCTCTCATGCCAAACAAAATAGACTTCATTATGTAAATGGTTTGCAGTAATAGGCTGATTCATTTCTTGTCGCATGAGCAGGTGCTCATTGTTCAATAGCATTAATCGCTTTATATAGTATTTTATGTGGACCTTGCATCTCCACAACAATAGAATATGCTAGTTTTAATAAATAAGAAGCAGTAGAAGTTAAGTAATAGTGAAGAAGAAGAACTTAATTAATCCTTGAAAGGAAATTCAATAGAAGCAGTAAAAGTCAGGTAATAGTGAGGTAGCTTTTCACATTGTAATTTGCTCTGTATGAGTGATAATTGTGAAATCAAGTATGAAATAAGATGACAGAATCCGACACATAAAAAACAAAAATCACTTTCCTGAACTCCCGCTGTTATACTGTTGTAACAGCACTTTGCTAGCTGAGAGGTTTTGGGGTAGTTTGGTCATTTCATTTACTTTACGACTGAACAGGCTGAACAGATATTATAATCACTGTTACTCAGGTGACACCTGTGTCAGACTCAGGTTTAACTGAGAGCTCCCTGGTGTTTTCTTGTTAGCTTTGTAAGCATCTGAATGGAAAAGCAATGGACTGGGTCCACTGCACAGTTTACATCATCCTACATCACTGCTGCATCAGGAAGGATTGCCTGAGGATGTGATGATAGAAAACCACATGTGGCACAACCTGACAGAGCTCGAGATGGAGAAATACTCTCCATACTGTGTGCGATGGAGGAAAGTTTTTAAAACGTCTGATTCAGATTCATTGAGAGGGAAACACTAAAAAAGAGACACATGAAACAAATCTTTATATCTCTTTCTGCATTTTACTAACTCACCAGTACTGAAATAAATGTAATATCCACTGTATAAAAGGTCTTTTATTTCAGAGTGATTTACTAGGTCCTCTTCAGAGCTCCTGGTGATTGAAGCCAGAGGGAAGATTATTATATGTACCACAGTAGGATATGCTAGTTTCTTTACTAGGCAGAAGGATGCAATGGTTATAAATATGACTGTAGCTCCCTTAAAGTCAGAGAAGGGTACAACAATAGCTGGCCCAGTTCATGGCTCTTAGGAGGTTGTGATAAAATACAGAGCAGAAATAAGGAGAATACTTGGCGTTTGACACAAATATGTCCACAAGGGAGGTCAGAGCGTCCCATCATCATACAAGGCACTTACTGATCCAACTCTGCAAACTGGGTCTGCAAAGTGCATCTTTCCCGAAGGTACACATGGTGTGCTGACCCCTCTTTGTCATGCTTTGGTTTCATTGATCATCCCAATGTGAGAGATTGTTTGGTCTTGAAATTTTCATCTGTTCACAAGAAAGCAAAGGGGAGGAAAACAGGATTTGCGTGTTGCCAACAATAAAACAGGCACACTCAGGTAAATAAACAAACAGACAGTGCAACACATGCTGAGGCCTTTAAGTGCATTGTGTATCCCTGAAGTGGTGCTCTCTTTCTCTAAATGGAAGGAAGAGAAAAAACAGTCAGACTTAGATGACAGCACAAGAAGGACGACTTGTAGATTTTCACCCTTGAAGTATTCATAAACGGATAAAAGCAAATGGTTTAAGTTAGGAGTGAAAGAGGAAAGTTTATTTCAAACTAATTTCAACATTAAATGTATAAATCATATCACTCATTAAAGATAGCAAGTTTAAACCTTGCATAAAGATGCAACTAAGGTTGATCCCATCATTATTAGTGGATTGTTTAATACCTGGCATTAAAAAAAAAAAAAAAAAAATGATTACTTGCATTGTCATGTCTGTTCTTCACTATCATGCAAATTAAAACTTTTACACCTGTTCATATTAGAAACCACCTAATGACAAGGATGTGTGATGCAGATTCACAGATTTTCTATGCTCTAAAAAAACGTCATGCACCTCAGGCATTTTTTTATCAAACAATTTACATTTTACAACTGAGCAAATAAAAATCAAATATCTGTGACTGGTAGAGCTTTACATAAGTCTAGTGTCATTTTCATCTACTGGTTGCTTCTAAGCTGTCTGTGAATGGCCATGAACATAACTGCACCATGATGACAGGAGAGTGAAGTGATGTCAATAACAGTTGACCGGCACATGGTGTTTTCGATGTCAGGGACCATGACTTTTCTGTGGCACCTGCAGTGCACTTTAATTTGCTGTGCTAGAATATTACGGCCTTTGTGAATCATGTTGAAGTTGGCTCTACTTGAAATCAATGCTTTTAAACTGGTAAACACACTTGCTCTGTTTTTCATTGTAACTGTATTGGACACATGAGGCAGTGGTGTGAATGATGGCCCGCCAGCATAGAGTCATCAGTATGGGCTTCATTGTGCACAGCAACAAAAAAAACATGGAGGCAAGCCACATCTTTTATAGATGTCAGCGACCGGCTGCCAAATTGTCCCAGCGGTCCACTATTCCACTTATGTTAGGCTCCTCACCTAATATCACTGAACTGCTTCCTACATGGGACAAAGGATCTCCCAGGGCTGCAGTAACATTGTAAGAGAAGGTGTTCCCAGGAAAGCTAATTTAATCAAAGGTGCTGTGTACTCACTGATGGCACCTCCAGTAAAAGGAGGTTAGTGTGCTTTGAGGAAACGACTCTGTAGTGGATCAATTCAGCTGTGTTCACCATGAAACCATTTTTTTGGCTTGCTACAAATAAAACTCCCGTAAAAAAAGGATAATGACTTGATTTTAAACCTGTTAATTGTAGAGGTAAATACTTAAGCAAACAAATAAATGTTAATTTTTCACTCTCCTATTTTAAGTTCACACCAAGCACAAGTAGAGTCATCTCCTCGCTTAGGTCAGTCTTTTTACATCAAACATAGCAGAGGTCAACCACACTGAGGTTCTGCTGAGTTTAGATAACGTACCAGATAATCAGACCTCCTCAATCTCTTTCTCCAGCTGAGCTCTTCTTTATTCCTGTCTTGGTGTAACAGACAAGTTGTATCCTAAAGTTTTAGTGGTCTCATACTTTTTACAATGGGCTTATCCTCCATTTTCCACATGAGTGAATCTCTTCTGGTCTGTTGTTGATAGTGCTGCAACTAACGACTATTTTTTTGTCGACTAGTCGTCCGACTAGTCGTCCGATTAATCACGATTAATCACTATCTTCTTTATTTATAAACACCTATTTCCAGGGTGTCGGCGTTTCAGGTGCTCATGCATCGCCGTGGTGCTGCCATGGTAGGAAAGCTGAGCTTTGATCAACGTGTTTTTTTGGTTTGTTCTCCGTAAAATGTTTCCAAACTTTTGAAGTTTTGGGTCGGAGTTTTGGAGCGTCTCTTTCAGTTTGTTCTGCCATAATGTGTGCACTCTTCTTCTGTGTTTGCTCGCGGGATGTAAACAGCGACCGCAACTGCCCCCGGCACATCCTGTAGTGCACTGCAGTGATAGATGAGCATGAGGCGCCGGCATTTGATCCTTAACAACAATAACACGACGCGTCGACGCTTCGTTTTCGTGTCGATGAATTTGTCGTGTCGACGTAATCGACTACGTCGACTAATCGTTGCAGCCCTAGTTGTTGACATACGTCACCAGGGTATCATGCTGATTGCTTAAGTTGAGATATTTTCAACTCTTGTGAACGGGCATTTGAATCCAGTACCGCGTTGGATGTGACGTGAATTCACGTTATTCATGTTCCACTTAGTTTGCATGAAAGACAGCTCAATTTTTGAGTTAGAGGAATGAAAAAGAAAAGAGACCTTTATTTATACTCAATTTTACATGCTTTGAAACTCAGAGGTTCCTAAAGAGGCATTCAAGGCTTGTTAGAGCCCGATATGTAACAATGACCCGAAATATAGTAAAAAAAAAAAAAGATAATAAAACCTGAAATGTAACAACTGGTCGATAATGTGACAAGTTGCTTGAGCCCATAATGTAGCAACTTTTAACATTATGGGTTGTATTAGATTTTTAAATACATTTCAGAAGTGTAACCTTTGTTACACTTGTAAGAAATTGTTACATTTTAGGCTTTATTATCCATTTTGGTAACACTATAATAACTATCTTTTATAACAAATTAATAGATAATTAGTAAGCTGCTAATACGTTATTTATAGTTAGTTAAGTGTTTGTTAACAGTTAAGGATTTATAATAATGCCTTTACAGATCATTAATATATCATTAATAAACTGTTAGATGATGAACTATAAATGACTTGTTAACTATCTTAATGATTAATGACTCTTACAAGTTAGTAATAGATCATGAACAAGCTATTAGTAAATTACTTACTGACTTATTAAATATCAGTTGTTTATAAAGTTGCAACTACTCCTCGTTTACTAATAGTTAATAAATGAAGAATAGTTGCAACTTTAGAATAACGTCCTATAACACTGTTAAGAAACACTAAACAAGTCATTGATAACTCATTTATTTACAGTTTACAAATGATCAATTAACTGGTTATAACAGTTATTAAGTGTTAACCTTTTTTCCACATATCGGGCTCTAACAAGCTTACATGAAGCTTTGGCTGCTTCACAATGCAGACCTCACAATTAGCATCCCTGCACTCTGCTGCCTGGCTGTGTCGCTAAACCTAAAATTTACTCATTCTGGCTTTCAGGGTTTTACTCTCGAGGATGACACTCGAGTGTGATGCCTGAAAACAAATGCCATACATTCACAGCTAGCCCACATAAAGGAAGCTCATTCACACATATACACACACGCTATCACACACTCACTGTCCCTCTGGCCATACTCTTCATCACTCAGAGTTATGGTAGCTACACTGTGCCTTCTGGAGCAACCGCTGACTTATCCCCACAGACCTGTCGTACATGGTTCATTGCCTCATTTTCAATTGTTCTTTAGACCCTCATAAATCACCCCTGAATGTATTTCTGTGTGTGTGGGTGTCTGTGTGTGCAT